TGGGAAGTGGATAAAAAGAAAAAAAAAAACATATATTAAAAAGAAAAAAAAAGGGGGTGAAAAGGGTACACCACATTTAATTACGCGATGTTTGCAATATTATTATTTTCGTGTGTTATCCATTTCGGGAAATGGAATTTGTCTGATTTTAAACGCCAGGACACATTATATACTAATGTAATGTAATTTTTTTTAACGAACCGACTGATTTTACTTTTTAATACAGTAATTCTTTAATCTTTTCATTCTTACTCTCTTGTCACCACTGCCGTTACTATTGCTATTACTTACCACACTATTCACTATTGCTATCATTCACTCTGATTCTGGTCGATAGCTTTCCGTCATATGTCGGTATCATCGTCATTATTATCGTCATCTACTATCTGTCATATTATTACTACTATCATCATTATAGTTATTACTACGATTATAGTTATTACTATGTAAACTGTTACACTGCTGTTGCTAACATTTCTTCTGGTAATCACTAACAACTCCACTGTTCATGTGCTTTCACGCTGTTGCTATTTTTACCTTTCTATTGTTATTACTGCTGTTACTACTATCATCTACTACCTATGCTACTACTATTATCACTACTCTACTATTAGTAGCCCTCACAGCTGTCGTTGCTATTTCGAGTACTGTTAATGCCACTATTGTACTATCTTCCATATCGCTGTATCATTACCATATAATTCTCCTTAGAGAAAAGAAAAAAGTGTATTTAAATGCAACATGGTTCGCGACAGAATATTACTTCGTTACACGCGTTGAAGGAAATGAAAGCAAAATGGAAAAATAACGCCACTGCTATACACGATTTAAATCCGCCTTCGCTACCATGCTAAGAGAAAGAACAAAAACGACATTACGGCGGGTACGCATTGTAGTTTGCGCACAGATCTCTCGTGTTTTTGTTATACTTGTATGCGTGAGAGAGAGAGTGACAAAAGGGTGAAGGGGGCGAGAGTTACCATGTATCTCTTCTTTTAACACCCGAGATTGGATTATAACGAGTGAAAAAAGAAGAGAAAGAAGGAAGAAAGAGCTGGAAAGATTATTTATGGATAAACGGATTTTAAAGGCCTTAAACGGGTGTGTTTCGAGCGAACAAATGCATAAAAAGCGTATAACGTTAAATAATTCACTGTACATGCGTAACAAAATGCGTCAAGAAATTTAAGAAAGAGAATGAGAAGATGGAGAAGAGGAGGAAGAAAAAAAAGAAGGAGAAAAAAAGCATTTGCATCATACTTCTATGATGTGACATCGAAATTTGTGGCTTTAAACTATAAGCATACGTCATAATTACTCTATGGATATGCACTTACTATTAACACCTCAAAAGTAATTACGTCGCAAGTAAACGTAGCATAATATTTTTTCGTGCAGCAAGGAGAGGGGAAAATGGAAAAGGTGGAAAAAAAAAAACGAGAAGAAGAAGAAGATGGGAAAGAAAGAAAGCGAGGAAGGTTACATTTAATAGTTAAATATAATAGTATTAGCGATAAACTGGTATAACGTACCGATAAATAATATGCAAGATAAGCAAACA